CACAAAGAATTACATAAAATAAATTAATATTAATAAATAAAAATTTAAATAATAAAATAAAATGTAAAGATCTAGAACTTAAAAGGAAATAAAGCCATAAATTAAATGCGGAAGCAAAATAATAAAGTTTAGAGTTTACATTTCTTACACAATAATTTAGAATGTCCAATAAGGATACGAGAATGTCTCTTCTAAAAGAACAAACGAAAAAAAAAAACAAAAGATAAATAACTGAGTATTCTAGGACGACCTTCACTAGCTTTTGAAGGGAGTTGGGTGGTGAACTTATTCACAACCCTCTTGTTAATCGAGATCTAGATTTTGATACTCTTGACCTGAAATAGTTAATGAAAGGGTGAGGTACACTACTCTAGTAAGAATATCACACTACTCACCGATATAGAAACTGAAGGTTCTTAAAAATCATAAAAATAATCAATGAAGCTCTTGATTTGAGTAACTTCATTTATCACAAGGAAAATCATTTACTGCATATACTTACTGTTGCGAGATTTTTAAAATCGACCTATAAAGATACAATGACTCAAATAACATTTCAATCTCATTTTTCAGTGAGTAATAGCAACCATTTTTCCTTTTTATTTGCCTACTGGTATCCTTGGGACCCCATAAGGATATCCCACTACGCGTGAACCAATATTCAACATTGTTAACTAATTGGCTATTCCCATACCCCGTCTAGTATGAGCGCCAAAATTATCATCCCTCAATACCTCGTCCAGTATGAGGGCGAATCGGGTCGCTCTCATACCTCGTCCGGTATAAGCGTTAAAATATCATTCCTCGATATCCCGTCCAGTATGAGATAACATTTACGGTAGGGTTTCCTATATACCCGGTCCGTTCACTATCTCTCAGGATATCCAGTAAGGCTACCATTCCTTAATTCACATGACCAAATAATTTTCCGTTTACATATCAATTTTCAATTTCACAAATCAACCATAAATCACGTAAGATAAACAATATATATATCATATCAAGAAAGCACAACTGAATCATTTAACCATTCCAGTATGTCATCATGCATTTAAAACTGTAAATTCAACAATCAGTTAAACATGACAAATAGATAACTAACCGGTTCTACCTCCATTAGTAATCTGTAATTATTCTCAAAATTTTTAAATTACACAAAATACCATATTATCGATTATTAAGCTTCAATTTCATAACAGAGAATAAGGTGATGGATTCTTACTCGAATCGGTGTCTAAAATACTAAATTTTCTGTTGCACCTACTGGTGGTCTCCGGATTTTCTGAATTTTTCGATGGAGATTAAAACGTATTTTACGTACCTAAAAATACCCTAAAAAATCTAAAATTGGTGTTAAAAATATTTTTTTTGCTAATTTTATAATTCTGATACGGCGGCACCACCGTGCTCCAGTGATGACACCACCGTCCGCAGCGGTAATTTGCCTTAACCTGACTATTTTTGGCCAGTTTCTACCGGTTTTATACTTATCACTACGAGAAAACACGTTAGGGGGCCTCGGTTGACCGAAAAAGGTCAAAAAATAGAAACCTACTAGCGGCAGAATTTTTCAGTGCGGCGGCTCCACCAACTCACCTTCGCGGTTGGTTGTTTTTCTTTGGTCAACCTGTAAAAAATAGAACGGTGAACACAACGGTAAAAAAATACACGAAACGAGAAATGGGATAGGACTCATCGGAGGCGATTTCGGGTTTTGCCTACGGCAGCATCGCCGGGTTTTGCCTGCAGCGGCGTCGTCAGGTTTTGCCTGTGGCGGTGTCGTCAGATTTTGCCCATAGTTTTGGACTCATCCATTATTTCTTTTACTTTGATTTGACCATGGGGGTGCTCGGAATAAAATTTCGAGTGAATATGAAAATTTTTATCTTTTTTGGCAGTCGGAAGTGGCTTTGGCGTCGCAGGGGGGGGGGAGGGGGAAGGGGGGGTGGGCGGTGTTCACCTCCCTTCTCCGGCGACTGGTTCTTCTTCTCAGACAGGAGGCTGGCAGGTAAGGTTTGGGTTCGGTGTTATGCGAAATATTTATACTCATCTCGCGTAAATCTGAACCGTTCATCGCGTTTGATCTCGACCGTCCGATCACGTTTAAAAAGAAGATGAACTTGGACCATTCATCTCTACTTGATCTCGATCGTTCAATCGCGTTTAAAAAAGAAACGAATCTGGACCGTTTATCGTATTTAATCGCGATCTTCTGATCGCGCCTGTGGAGGGAATGGATCCGGATCGTCCACGCACGTGGAAATGCTTCTGGGTCGTCTGATCGTGGGGCACGCGGATCACCAGCTTGGCCTCCCATGTGGCACCGGTCAGCGTGCCTTTCCATGCGGCTCGCTCCGATTCGTCAAGACTGCTGATTGGGCAGTCTTATGTGGCGCAATTTTTCTTAATTGCATTTTGACCATCAGTTTTTTATTTTTCTTTCAAAAGTACCATTTAAACCCAAATTTTCACCACTTTTTTTTTAAATTATTTTCAATTTCGTCTTCAACCTATTTTTTTCATAATTCTACATTAAATTAAATTTTATTAATTTTAAAATTAGATTTTTATACATTTTTTTAATTTTAAAATTAATCTCGAACCAAATTTTGGGCCCAGATATTACATAAAATATTAAGATTAACTTATGAAAATTTAGTTAGAGAATAAGAGAAAAATGATGTGGTTAGAAGAATGTTGAGAATGATGAGTA